TCCTCCTGCCGTCTGCCCCAGAGAGCTTCTCTGGAGCAGATTGTCCCAACTTCAGTCAGGACTTCCAACGGCCAAAGAATTTTCTGACCTTGTTCCTGGTCTTATTCCCGTTGGCCTTTTCAACTTTCTTTCTATTCTTGTGCTCCCTGATCTCATTGAACAACGTCTCACTGCCTCTGAGGAGCTCGTCCATGACGTACCACTTCAGCTTGCTCTCTTCGACTTGCTCTCTTTTCTGGCTCTCGAAGGAACTGAAATCTTCATCGGTCAGAGCGTCTGCCAATGTGTTTCCATCTCTCCTCACCCACGTCAAGGTTGCAAAGGTGTCCATCCTCCTGAGCGTCTCCGCAATCTCAATGACCAAGATCGTCACTGGGTACTTCGTTGAGAGGCCCTTAGCGAATGATGAAAGCATTGCCCTTGTTGTCTGTGAAGGCTTCTGCACATACCTCTGCTGATGCTCCCGCCTCAACAAGCCACAACTTCAAGGCTACTAACGTGGCCAGGAGCTCCAGTGCTGCAATCACTCTTTTGGGATTCTTCTGTCTATAGTATAGACAGGGCGCACTGATCTCCGTCACCTTCAATGAAAACCACCTGCAATCCCTGCTGTTGGAGCTCTCTTCAAGCCAACCCCCCTATCCAAGCAGCCTGTTCTGTTGCTTTGGCGTCCGTCCAGATCCTCACAATGCGTGAGGCGGAACTTTGGGGCTGCCTCACGACTTCCATGCGGCCCCCGGTCTCGAGCCTCTGTGCTATCCAGCTCAAAATGAACAGGACTGCCCAGGGAATGGTCATCTCACCCTTGTTCGATTGGATTGCCGACGACCATGCGTACAAGGGCCCAAGGAGTGGCTTCTCCCAGGGGAGTGCCAGAGCAGAGAAGCCAAGCCTGCCTAGCCCCGCTGCAAACTCTCTGTAGGACACTTCCTTGCGCTCCCTCAATGACCGTATCCAGCCGATCACCCATTCTGTCCTCTTCACTGAAAGCCCCATCGAATAGGTCTGATAGTCTGTCGTCAGACCAATCCACTCCGTGACGAGGCCACCCCTCTGTTTTGACCACTTGAATGGGGCCCCGAGCGCTGCCATGAGGCCATAGGCAAGCACACCTCCGATACGACCTTCCCTGCCAATGGCCACCACCTCAAGGTCATCGGCGTACAGGAGCATGTCATTGGGAAAGGCGTCCCCCAAGACCCAGTGTACAAGCCTCATCAAGGCCGCGCTCAACCTTGCCCACCAATACGGAGTTGATGCAACTCCAAAGGTGCCCACTTGGTTCACATACACTGTGCTCGACTGAGTGGAAGATTTGCACCCAAGGAAACCCTGCTCCTCCTCTGCATACTTGAAACGGCGATGAGCCTTCGCAAAGTCGCCCACCAGCGAGAGCACTGCACGATGCTCGGCCTCATACTCTTCCAACAAGGCTCTCTTCTCCCTAGGACCAGGCATGCGGACCTTGTCTCTGCACTTGATCCGATGGTTCACCCTCACACCATGCGTGCCATCATGGATGACACGCTTCTTGCCTGTGAGCTCATCCTCCACGAGAACTGCCAACGCTGCTACTGCTCTGTTGTCCCCAAACTTCTCAACGAAAGCACCCTCTTCCATCTTGACCATGAGGCCTTCCGATACTTCCTGCTCCAAGTGCTCCACAAGATACTTCTCATGCTCCTCAGCCGAAGTGTAATTGCTCTTTTGCCAAGCAGCCTCGCTCCAGTCATCATTCTCCAGGTTCCAACGTAGCTGCTCCTCAAATACCTCCGGTGTCCGTGGTAGTTCGTTGAGCACTCCAAGTGGAAACCCCGTCTTTGCTTGCTCCAGGAAAGCCCAATCCGGATCACCAGCCTTCCTCAATACCTCCTTCATGAGGCCCAGAAAGAATGGCTGCCCCTCTTCCGGCTCTGCCTGGGCCATGATCCCAAGCTTCTCCGACAAGACTTCCCTGATTCTTCGAAGGAATGCAGCGTCCCTGACCAGACTGAAAGCTTCGCCCCCTCTTGTCATTCTGAAGGCCTCTCTCTCCACCTCCGCAACACTTCCGAGGGAGCGTACCGCCTCCAGCCGCAACTGATGCCTCACGGCCACCCATACCTCCTCTTTGAGCTTCTTCCTCCTCTCGGGCGGCCATCTCCCGGGGGAAGCCAATAACCTCCACCATCATGAAAAGGCGACTCCAAACCCTTCCAGCGGCATCCCTTGGAGCTCCTTGTCCTCCCGGGACCAACGGACTCATAGGGTCCACTTTCACCTCATCCTTCACGCTCACCTCGCTTCTCTTGCGCTTCTCTTGGCCAGATGAGCACTCCTCCACCTTCCTCTTCTTCGAAGATCTCCCAAAAGAAGTCTCCTCCAATGAAGTCTCACCCCCCCCCTGTACACTCTTGCTGAAAGGAGGTGAGAATGGTCTCTGCTGTCCATTTGCACAATGCTGGAGGCCAGGCAGCAGAGTTTGCGGTCTTGAAAACTCCATCCTTCTTGCCGATCAGAGGGGCGCCCCCTGATGTCCGCGGCAAGGGACCAACATACCAACCATCATCATCGAATTGAGGTGGACCTGGATGCATTGCTTGATGAAGTGGAGCATGAATGCGCATCAAAAACCTTGTAGGCTTTGGCGAGTCTGTGCCAAACTGACTCTGTGCAAAAACCACTGTCTGCACTCCTTCAACCTCCAGCAGCTCCCAAAATTGCCAGAACTGCCACATTGATGCAGGTCGATGTCCGGGCATGCGTTCATACGAGGTCCTGCCCAGGTCTTCTGGTTGCTCCATGATGCCCACACTGCGTTTGCGTGCAAATTGACGTCTCAAAGCTTCAAATGAAAAATCAGCCAGGATCGTCCCGAATTCAGCTTTGTGGAAACGCTCCCCCCTATTCCAAGGGAACCCCCTCGGATAGCTTGAGCTCCTCGCCGGGAAAGGCCCGTGATCATTCGCCCACACTGCTCTCGAGAAGGTTGAACAGGGTGGTGTGACAATGACTGCAAAGAAAATGCCTTGGGCAATCATCTGCAACCATCTTTTCTGTACAGCTGGCAAAGTGAAATCTGCCCTTCTATCTGATTGAACGTCCAACTCGGTGATCTCCACCTGGATGTCCCTTCGTGGTGCAAGTCTTCTAAAGAATCCTGCGACTGAGTTTCGCCGCCGCCTCCCAGAAAACACGTATAGGACTCTCAAGGTCCTTCACTTCGTCCCCGTCGTATCCGGAGCAGTTGGCTCCTTTCTGCTCTTCGGGTTGCACTCGTAGAGGGGGTGCTTCTCGCTAAAGCATATTCCGCACACATGGCGGTATTTGCATTTGGCCGCCTTGCATTTCTCTCCGGGGTGTTGTAGCGGAAGCAGATCAACTCGCCGTCCGGGGTGTGAGTGGCGCAATGGGGGTTGCCCCCCTTGCCTTTCCCCTTCTTGCTCTTGCCCTTCTCCTTGCCCTTCTCCCCTTTCTCAGGGGTCCTCCACTTGGCTGCTGGTTGCTCCCTCCACGGCGGCGGTGGCCTCTTTGCATACAATGCCAATGGCGTAGTGAAGTTCCTCTCTTTGACCGTTGCATCTTTCCACGCTGTCTTCAAGGCCACCGTCAATGGCTTGCCCTCCGTGTTCGTGAGCTTCACTGCCTGCTTCCGAATCGCCCGTTCATAGGCAATGACCAGCTTCCACGGTGGTGAGGCAAAGGTCTGCCCTTCAGCGTCTTTGGCACTGAGGCCATACACGTAATCGCCCAACAAGTAGTCCTTGTATTGCTCAACTGCGTCCTCCCACGCTCCTTGTAGCTCATGGCGATTGGAGTGCTTCATCGATATCATGACCATGGCATTCTTCCAGATCGTCAATCGTCTGCGGAGTTCTTCCGCGTTCTCTGGTTCCGGGACTTTTGTTGAGGCCTTACGCATGGCCAGACGGCCCTTGGAGTCCCAAATAGGCACCACAGCATCGGGCTCGATTTCTTCTTTCGACACGACCTCAGTCAGCTCTTCTGCACGGTATTCACCGCTTTCAACCTCTGCCAGCTTCTTCTCGATGTACTCCTTGGAGGGGTAGATCTTGTCTTCCACGCGCCCGTAACGCCTCTCCAATGCTGACCGCATAGCCGCCCATTCTCCGGCCACTACCGGCCTCGACCACTGCAAGGTGTCGTACTCGGCGTCCACCTCTGCGGCTCTTTGACTCCTCGTCTTTGCATTGCTGAAGGCGCACGTGATCGCTGCCACCTGCACCCTCTCATCCAAGGACCTACTCGAGTCCAAATCCCAGTGGTCCTTGAGGACTGCCGCCAGGTCGTCCCGGTCCTTGGCGAAGTTTGAAAGCTTCTCAAGCGTCGTCACTCCATGGTGGAAGAACAGCTTCTGGTTCTCGATGCTCACCTCATGTCGTGACAGCAGGTACTTGATATCTGTACCCGCAACTTCAAGGGCCTTCTTGCCCTCATCCTCGGTCAGAACCGCCCGTGGCATGACGGCGCCGGCCTAACGCGCCGCCCCTCCTGCTTGAACCAGTCAACGATGCAGCATGCTATGCCGTCAAAAACTTCTATGACACTCCGTGTGCATGCGATGCACTGTCTCTCTCACATGCAATGTGATCGAAAACCGCTCTCTGAGGTGCGACCCCGCCTTCTCCTCCACTGGATTTTCCCTCGCGCATGCTGCGCAACGATCTCCTGCCTGAGCGGCTCGCTCGGCTTGGGGTGCTCCCCTATCCTACCAGTGGTTCTTGCCAAGTGCTACTTGGATCCTGCATGAGTGTGGCCGCACACATCGCCGCTCCCCCCTGGGTGCGACCCAACGGGGAGAAACCCTGCACAACTAACATGTGTCTGCGCCCCTGCAACCCCTTTTCAGTCGCTGAGACTCAGCTCGTCCCTGGAATCACTGGTGGATTCACTGAGCTGTCCATTTCCTCCGCTCCAACACAGCTTGCATCGAAGCGTGTACTCCTCAGGCTGTGGCAACTCTTTGTGGACCTCTGATCTCACAAAGAACCTCTTCCTTGCCATCCAACAGCCTTTGTCGCCCAGCCGGTGCAATGTGCCCCTGCCGGCACGCCTGTACACCACCACGAAATTGCCATCCCTCTCTTCTTCAAGAGGTTCGTTCACCTTTCTCTTCTTCGGGTCCCTAATGTTCTTCTCATCGTCCTCCTTCTCGCTCTGTGACCCATCATAGATCGTGGTGTCATCGTCCGAGATCTGGACGGTAGCCCTTGGCATTCCCTTGACGCCCAGTCTGTCCTTCCATGCCTCCACGACCTGCTCGGCCAAATCCTCTGGCACAGTCCATTTCTCGTGCAGCCACACCTTGAGCTCCTCCAACACGGCCCCTTCGTCCAGCTCCTCGTACATGTTTGCCCCTTTAAGGACTTTCACCATCTTCTTCTGCATCTTTCTCACGATGGCGTTGTAGGTCCGCACGTAGACGTCCGAACCCTCTGGGCACCATCTCCCCAGCAAGTCCCTATCGGACTTCTCCACGCCCAGAGCTGCAAGTCCGCTAGGCATGGTCGCCCGTTCGCTGTGCTCTGACCAGAACCTCTCCCAGCCATCCGGGATCAAGCGGCCATTGTAGCCCTCCAACATCGCCAGAGCTCTTGCACTCCCAGCTGAGGCCTCCGCATACGTGACGTGCGACGCCCCGTAGCTCGTTCCATAGAAGCACCCCTCTGGGACAATTCAAAACCCACTGCCAGCCAATCCTCGTGCAGCGCATATGCCTCCTTTGTGATGAAGATCGGAAGCTCACGCACCCTCTTCCCGGCACCTGACGTCTTGGACTGGTGCATCATACCAATCAACTGGCCATCATAGAAGCGGAGTTCCGAGGTCTTCAAATGGGCAGCGTCGTCAAACCTCATCGACGCCCAAAGCTTGATCAGCTTGAACCAGGCGCAAACCCTGACCTCGAATGGGACAGCTTTGTCCACTACCAGAGTTTCCATAGGTGCTATGAAGCACCCCAACCATCGAGGCGCCCGACGGACAGGCGGTGCATTCTGCTCCAGCTTCCTCGTCAACTCCTTCATAACCATCTGCGGAAACTGCTGGCCCATGAGCTGCTCATCATCAGGTATCCCGGCTGTGCGCTCAAACCAGGATACCGCAGTGCTCACCGCAATGGGGATTGAGGGCCCCATGCCCTCCTCCTCCCGGGCATACATGTAGTCAACCAATGCCACACTGTTTGGCCTCTGTCCAGGTTTCCCCAATGCTTCCACCCACTCTCTGAACTTCTGCCATGAAGCCAAGTATCGCCGGACTGTTGAGATGCGATACTTCCCCAGTAACGCCTCCTTGGCCCTTGTAGGATTCATGGACTTCTTTATGTCCTCCAAGACGGGTGCCTTGAAGATCAGAGGCTCATCAACGAGCTTCTGCAGGATCTTGTCTGTAACTTCATCTTCTGCTGCTATGCGGCCACTTTTCAACCGCACTGTCCTCCCCAACGTGCCACGTTTCGGCACTACCGGGAGCACCACATTGGTGTCACCTGGCTCGAGGGTCACCGCCTTCTCCTTGGCCATTGCTGCTCGAGCGTCCAGTATGTTTTGCATCGACCTTGTAGATGAAGTGCCCACAACACGCTCATCTAAGTCCGTCATCTGGACGGCCTCGCGCACCTGGCCTATTATGAAGGTTACATGCCATGGCTTCAGTTCAAGGCCCAATCTGTCGACCAGCTGCCTTGCAAGCACGGATTCGCTCCCATGGCTGATTGCTAGCCTAGGCCCTACCAATCCTATCTCTGATAGGAGGTTTAAGAGCAGCGCGCTCTCTTCGGGATCGGGGGCATACACTGCCCCTTCCATCCCCCTCCTGAAGCCTAAAATCCACCTACCCTCGAGCCTACAAGCAGGGGCAGCAAAATTCTGTCATGACATGGTCATGAGTGATAGACTTTGAGGGTTTCTTTCAATCTCACCTCCACCCTCGAGCGAAAAATCTCAGTGTTTTCGAACGAACCCTTCCAACAAGCCCCACAACACAGGGTGGGAGGGTGGGCCTTTCGAGCCCCGATGCTACGGAGGAAATAAACCTGTCATGAGTTTATTTATGGGGACATTGCACCAAACTCAGTCACAGGCTCTTTTCCTCGCGTTGCAGCAAGCTTGTCAGATTTAAACCAAAACTTCAACGAAAATTCGAACAACCTCTCGGGGCCCCG